CTTTTCTCATCTTCTTCCAACCCTCCTTGTTTTCCCAATGCTGCTAGATTTATTATTTTCCAATAAGAAAAAGAAAGTAAAAATAATAAGTAATCCCCGACGTGATTCTTATTAATAACATATAAACCTAGGGACACGGAGAGTGGAAACAAAGAAATGATCTCTCTGTCACAAAATGCCTTCAAGGAAACAGAAGAGCGCTGCTGTCAAGTCCAGCATATTTAGTCAAGTCCGGCATTCTGTTTCCATGGTAGCCAACCAGATGTCCATAAGAAGCTCACAGGAAGACAAGAGTGCAATAGCACTTTCCCATACATGCCTCCATAATTACTGCTGCCTCTGGTGCTGAGCCAATACATAGGCGTCATAATATCCATAAGCAAAGTTGTATAATCTCTTTTTGGCAGAGTTAGAGGCTATTCCTAAACCATGTAATAGACAGTTCCATAGTTTCATGCTTTATGAGAGTGTTTACCTTCTTTGAAGATTGCTCCTCTGCCTCAGGGCCCTGGCCGTGTCTTTGGATGGCTTAGTATCATAGTAACTTTTTTTGTAAATTCAGCATCTCTTGTGCCCGCTTCACCCTTAGGATCTTGAAACACTGGGTAACATTCAAACTTTCCTTAAAAGAGCTGTATTAGAACAGCTTGTTTTGGATTAGAAACAAAATGTATTTTTCTCTGCACCATGTGTGTGTGTGTGTGTGTGTGTGTGTGTGTGTGTTGAGGCCAGCAGATTTTAGTAATTCAAGAAGGTTCTTCCTTGACTTGCCCCTTCATGCATTTTGCCGGGGCAGGAATGTGGATCTCTGAGGAAAGTTTGACAAGTCTTCCTGAATTTGTGCGGCTGCTGGGAATCCAGAGGAGCATCGCATCTATCACAGAAACTGACATGCAGGTGGTTACTATGCAGAACCATTATTCTGACCTTTTCTGATTGAGCTAGGCATTATGAGAGCTGCCAGGAATCCGATTCTTGAATGTTTTAAGGGTCAGTTCCAAGTTTTAGTTGCTCTGACAGCAGAAAGTTGCAGCGATGATCTTGAGAGATTGAAACTTGTACAGCTTTAAGCTGTAAGAGGCTTGGTTGATAGAGCTGTGGCTAAGTATGAATATAGTATGTACACACTTCCTTTTTCTGCCAAGGTTTTTGTTTTCTTATCCCTGGACAAGTCCATATACTCTCTTGAGGAATATCAGTTATGCCCAGAGGTATTTGAGTATTCATTAAAATTAGTTTGCTTAGTCTTCGTAAATAAAAGCCACGATGGTATAACAATTAGTTTGTTGAGCTAGGATCATGGAAATATAAAACCTAGCCTATCGTAAGAAGTTGTTGGACAGATGAATTATTGTGCTCAACATCCTGAAGAAGACTAAACCCTTTTTGTTTTTAGATTTTTGGGATGGCAGTGTACCAATGGAGATATGTAAATATTTTTGTCTGGTAAAACACGAAAGGAAAAAAATGGAATGTTATTCTGAAGAAAACTCAGAACAAATCAGTTCTTTAAAACTGTCATTTCATTGTAGTGAAATTACTTCAAAATATGGGTTGATTATAAAAAAAATTACAACGATATTCTTAAAGCTAAACCTCATTCCTCCCATTCCACCCCACTTTGTGTTTGTGCATCATGTGGGAAATGGTTTAATTTTGGTGACATTCTATAACAGTGGTTCTCAACCTGTGGGTCGGGACCCCATTTGGGGTCGATCGACCATTTCACGGGGGTCGCCAAGCAAGGCTGTCCGCCATTTTTTTTGTCCGCCATTTTTTCCCCCTTTTCCGGCAGGTGCCTTTTTTCCCCCTTTCCCCCTTGGGCTGGGCCAGCTGGTGGTCGGCCTGCTCCGTCTCTGCCGCTTGCCAGCTATGCCTCGGCCGGCGCAGGGGGCGGAACCACGCATGCGCGGCGCTCCCGGGCAGGGAAAGTCCTCGACTTACGACCGGTTTAGTCCTCGACTTACGACCGGTTTAGTCCTCGACTTACGACTGGTTGGGGTCGCGGCATTAAAAAGGTTGAGAACCACTGTTCTATAAGGAGGACCAAAGAGAAAAACTTCCTGGGTGAAATGCTTTCAGCAATAAGTCAAAGGATAGTATGAAAGCCAGAGGCTATTATTGTTAGTAATGTTTATTTATAAAATGTTTCAGAGATTAGAAGAGTAGTGAATAGTTTGGAAAAAATATTTTTAGACTTCTTAAAGTTCCCAGTGACAAACAAACTCTTTTAGATCTCTGAGGAGTTTATTCCCTGCCATTTTTCCAATCCAGTAAAACAAAATCTTCAGGCATACTGCATGTGCTAACATTACATGATTTGAATTTAGCAAAATAAAGTACTCAAAACAGATGTTTTCTTTGTAATATTTAGGTTTTACCTAACACCTCTATAGCACTGTGATTCTTACTTGTCCCTAAAGACGAGGAAGCACCACAGCATTGCCATCTGCTTTCAGTCTACTGGTGCAATCCTCTTTCCCTAAAACTGACCCATTTTCAATCTGGTTATATAAATGTAGCAAAATAAATAATTGCAAGTTTTGAATGTATGTTAACTTACTATAGTGCTTAAATGCAGGTTGTCCAGTTTCAAAAATTTATAGGTTGGTGGTAAGTGTTCATAATATTGCTTGACCAAATAAGGTGATGAAATCTGAAGTGGAGAAGAGGGACAGGAGTTGCTTCACCCTTTGGCTGTTCCCATTCTTCCATTCTGTGCTGAAGAAAGTTTTTCATGTTTATTTGGTGACCATGAAATTGGCTGACCTTACATGCTGTTCTGTCAACTTTTCTCTGTACCTCGCTGATAAACTAGAGTGAACTTCCAACTTTATACACGAGCAAAGCCAGTCACTGTTTACATTCAAACTTGATAATTTATTCTCCCCATTTCACCCCACCCCCATATTCCATACCAGGCCATAATATATTTGCCTATGGGAGTCAGCTAACTTTTGGGATGGCATTGCTCTTCTGATGAAATGGCCTAGCAGCCATAAAAGAAAGAAAAATCTTTCCTGACACAGGTATATAGGTTTGAAAAAGTCAGGGATGCCTTTTGGGGATTTCATAATCCTTACATAGATAACCCTCAATATTGTATATAAATACTTTCATCTAAATATATCATTTTTTATGTAATTTGCTTTTTTCCACTCACAAAGCCATAAATAAATATGAGCACATCCTATTATAGCTTATCGTGATGTGAGAATATTCAGAATGGTGATCTGATGACTTATGTTATTGTTGTTGATCGTAATTTGAGGGAAAGCTGCCATTTATTTAAATCAAATTTATATGGTTGCCCATCTCAACAAGTGACTTTGGGCAACAAATAGAATTAAATTAGACTGTGTTGGCATTTCTCTGATTTTTAAGAGCTGCTTTTATAATATGAGATAATATGATTCAATAAAAATACAGAGTAACCCCTATTATAGGTAGCTATTTCTATCCCTCAAGCAGTCAAAATATAATTCTCACGGAGGAAACTCTTAATGTAAGAAAGCAATGTTTAAATAGGAATGAATTATTTCACTTATTTTTACAACATTTGTTAGAGAATGTATGTAGGAATTTATTTTTTAAGGTGCAGGTGTACCTATTTAATATTTCAAAACAATCCCATAAATGAAATCACTTATTCAAATAAAGCAGTTTGAATTTCTCTGCATTGATTTTATGCTGTTGTCTTAATACATTCTGTGCCATGTTTTCCAGAATCATATATTTTCCACACAAGTGGGAAAAAGAACAGGTTGATAATACTTTAAACAGCTGTGTGAAAATCAGCATAAAACCTAAAAGACAGCTGCATAGATCACTATCAATCTGTTCAGCTGTCATTTAGTACAGTTGACTTTGGCCTGAGTTATTGGGAAAAGTTAAAATAAATTGAGACGGATATGAAAAAAGGGTTTCCTAGAATGCAGACCATGAGAAATTTTCTCAGGCTGATGCCATTGTGATTTCTGCACGACCTTGAGAAATTGCAAACATGTTTTCTAGCATTTTCTTCACAGACATATGAACTGAAGCTTGTTTTGTGTAATAGTGGCTTTAATTGAGTACAACTTTTAAATTGGCTGTTGTAGCAATAGGTTGCGAGCGGAAAGTGGTAGTAACTGCTCCTAAATCTTAGTATTACATTTACAGGAGAAATCAACATTCCCTCTAGATATGTGGAGTTCAGTTCTCAGACTTCTCAGCAATGGCCATGTTAGTTAAGAAATTCTGAGTGTTGAAATCCCAGAAGGATACCCAGACTGAGGAAAATTAGGTCAAGCTTGGGTTCTCCAACAATGTTGTACACTGAAATATCTGTGGGACATAGGTAGCCTTCCTGTTTATAGTTTTAATAATGCTGTATGAGTTATTTTGCTGAAATGGAATTTAAAGTGAATAAAGAAAACAGATTGGCCCTAGTGAAGTCTAGTGAAACTCTTGACTTATTGATTCCTATGGGAAGACCCATTGTCTTTTTGTAGAATGTCTGTTTCTTTTCTAGTAAATGGAGCAAAATAACAACAATAGCAGCAGCAGAAATTGGGGGTGCCCATTTTTCATAGCAAATATCTGATTCTCTATCTGTATAATCATAAACTAATGCAGCAGAAGATGGTGCACAGCATATCATAATAGCGATGTTGTCCATGACAGACCTAAATATTGGAACAGATGCTCTGAACTGCCAATAGGTAGAAATATTCAATTTCAGAGATACTTAGGTTTTTCAGAGCTATGGTGCATGTTTTTGCCTCTTTTTGTTCTGGTTTTCATTCCGTTCCCCAGGTTTTCAGCTTATTTTAGAGAGCATTCTTCCATGAGATTTATTTGCAGGCAGAATTTAGTACCAAAGAACACTATGTTTTCACTTGCAGGAAATTATTAAGTTGTAGAAATAATGGACAATATGGAAGATGCTTTAGAGAAAGAGATGAAAGGGAATTCATTTTCTTGATGTAATGTTTAATTTCCCTTTTCCTTGCTTGCAGGCTTGTCTGGGAACCCAGCAGATCTAGAAAAAAGAAGACAGGCATTTGGCCAGAACTTCATTCCACCCAAAAAGGCCAAAACCTTCCTGCAGTTAGTTTGGGAAGCATTGCAGGATGTCACATTAATCATCTTGGAAATTGCAGCCATAATTTCTCTGGGTCTCTCTTTCTATCATCCTCCTGATGGCGACAATGAAAGTAAGTGAACTGCTTTTTCTCAATAAACATTGGGCAGATAGTGGTATCTCTGCTGTGATCCAAGAAGGCTGCTGTACATCCCTGCATATGTTGAAAAAGCAAAAACATGTTCAACTAGTTCACTATTTCTGTCAGATTATTAGAGCAGGTTGCTCACTGACTTTAGTGCTTGAAATTACAGATGACATGAGAACAGATTGGGAGGCAGAGAAGGTCAAGGCTAATGAATGCCAGACCAATCTCTCCTACAGCTTAAAAATGGGGCCCTGGCCAGCTGAAATATGTCTTTCTTTATCCTAAGGGCTTGCTGTTTCTGAATGGATGGTTCACCTTGTGACAACAAAGTAAATCACATTTCATAGAAACAATATTTTTGAGTATGAAAGACTGTTGACTGTTTCCTAGATCCCTCTGTGAGAATATTGTCTGTGCTGAGTTTTCATTAGCTGAATGGTTTAATATTCTTTCATTCTTTGTTCTTTCACTTTGATGACTATTAAAATATAGATTTTGTCTCTTTCTCCCCTTCCTGCCCCCCAGTTGTATTTGTTCCTGGCAGCACTTTTAGCTTAGTGTACAATGCTGAATTCAGGGTGAGGGTAACATAACACCTGATCCAAGAATGTACTCATTTGACTGATTTTTATTGTCTGAAGCTTCACAAACCCAGGAAATTGGATGCTAATAGGCATGTCCCATGATTGAAGTATTAGAAGATGCATAAAAGTAAGATATTCTATGTCATCCTTGATACTTGATTCTATAAAGGTAATGCATATTTTGCATGATGTGGCTTCACTTTCTTAGCTTTGATGGTTTAGCCAACATGGGTAAGCTTTAAATCTTAAATTAACAAGAGGGTTTTTTTTAGGAAGAAGAGGGTTATCAATATCCACCTGAAAAATTCCTGTTCTTGCAGAGAACACCGCTTCTCTGGTGTTTGAAAAGAAAAAATTATCACTAATATCATCCATCATTACCAATGTATCTTAATGTGTTTTCCTTCTTAGGTTTATTATGATACTAATGATTTCTTTCATGGTGAATGCTTTCACAGTTTTGTTTGAAATTTGTGTTTCTTATATAAACTAGATATTCCAGTAACTATATTTATTTATTACAGTGAATTGAAAGAACAGAAGAAAATATTTCTAATTGAACTAAGCAAAATTTAAACAGGGACCAAGGTTTTGAAATATCTAGAAGCTTCTTTATGCTAAATTATAATAAAAAGGAAAGACCCTGGGTTGTTTATTTAAACTTTCTTCTCTAAGTTTACAATGAAAGATTTAAACTACAAATGGAGACTGCAATTATATTCTGATTGCCCATTAAAAGAAATAAAACTTACATAATCTAGTACTACTGTAGGCTGTTTCTATTTAATTTGCTTATACACATCCTTGTGCTGGCATACAGCATGGAGGCCTTTGCCAGTAACTTTTGAATTGCTGCTCAGAATTTTATAAAAGAAATGAAGAGTTACCTTCCTTCACAATTCTGAATAAAGTATATTTGTTGGCATATCATCTGTGTTACTAACATTTGACTGAAATAGATCATATACATGTCCAAAAATGGCTTAAAAAGCAGTGTTTTTGTCAGTTTGAAATAAGCTTAAATTATAGAGTGCATAAAATCATAAATGCCAAGTTTTATAAGTTCATTTTCATAAGAAATAGAAATGTAAGACATTTAACTTTTTTTATTGTTTTTGGAAACCACATTAACTAACGTTATATTGATGCACCCATTAAAAGGCATAAAACAAGCCAAGTCCCAGGTAGTAAATAATGCCATTTTGTTAATTAAAAAGTAAGGCAATATTATTTGCAGTAATTTAAAGGTTTTATTTTTGAGTTTATAATGTGCAGCATATCAAACTTTAATAAAATATGAGACTATATTTGAGTGCTGATCTACTGAAAGAGTAACTCAGTATTATGTGAGTCATACAAAGCCATAAAATAGAAGATGGACTTTTAGATGGTGACTATTGATCATACAATTGAAAATACTATGATCATGTTGATATTCAAATAATCACCTGGATTTAGGTAAGGATCAATGGTAAGATATGACACTGTAAAAGGTATAAAGAGAAAAATGCATAAGAGGTTACAAGGCAACTCTGTAAGCCATGTAATTTTCAAATTTGGCAACTTTGGGATGTGTGGACTTGAATTCCCAGAATTCTGGCTGGGGAATTCTGGGAATTGAGGTCCACACATCTTCAAGTCTGAAAAACACTGCTCTAAGCCATTCAGCAAAGAAAGAAAGAAGGGAATATTTTGCTCCTTTCTTGGTTATATCGTTATTGCTGCTGTGAATTGGTGGTTGAAACTTAAAGTGTATTTCTGAGACCATGGAGATTAAAGAAGGACAACTGAGAAGGAAATGCTATGCCCTGTCTAGTGATTTTTAAGATATCCAGAAGCTTCTTGCTTTGAGAAGATCAGATCCCTTACTATTTTATCAACTTTTAACTAGGGATTAGCTAACTATCGTCCAGTCTCCAACCTTCGCTTTGTGGCGAAGGTTGTGGAGAGTGTGGTTGCATGGCAGCTCCCCCGACACCTGGAGGAAACGGTCTATCTAGACCCGCTCCAGTTGGGCTTCAGGCCGGGATACAGCACGGAAACGGCATTGGTCACATTGGTAAATGATCTCTGGAGGGCCCGGGACAGGGGTTGTTCCTCTGTCCTAGTTC